GAGAGAGAGAGAGAGAGAGAGAGAGAGAGAGAGAGAGAGAGAGAGAGAGAGAGAGAGAGAGAGGCAGGCTCCTGGGTAATAGCATGCTCACACCTGCTCTCCAATCTCAGTGGCTAATGGTTCAATACCTCTGCATGTTTCTATAAATCCGCACAAGACAGACGGACAGGCGGATGGATCGGTGGGTTGCCGAACAGATGCGAGGGCAGGCACGTGGCCAAGTAGGCAGGTCGGCAGATGAGAAAATTCATGAACACATGGACAGCCATGTCCACCGACAGACCAACAAACGGATCAGCAGACAGATGCACCGAAAGGCCCAACGAAGTTTTGACTTCTTTTGGCACAAGGAGCTTCTTGCTTTGATCTATAGAGCAAAAGGCAACAAACAATCTTACATAACCTGCATAAAAATTCAGACACAACAAACAATCTTACATAACCTGCATAAAAATTCAGACAATCCACAATTTTGGTAGAAGCTCACATAAACTTTCATAATCAAGTGAATCAAGTGAAATCAGTTGCATCTCTCTCTCTCTCTCTCACACACACACACACACACACACACACACACACACACACACACACTTCGAAGAAGTATACACTCACCTCAATTTCTGAAGGCTTGAAATCCTCAGACAGCACTGACTGAAGGGCAGAAATGACAATCTGCGAGAACCAGGACAAAGAATATATATACATACATACCCAATAACCAAATATACATGAGTAACACTGCATAAAGATTCATGGCATTCCAAATGTATCTTGACTGCATGCTATCCAGATACATTCTCACTGCAGTGCACAACGTTTCTAAATTAGATAGTGGAAATTGCATGGCAAGAATGAAGAGGAAAACAACTTGAAAAAAAAAACAAAAAGAAATAACCATCACGAGGAAACGTGTGTGAGCGATGTGTTTTATTTTTAGGACTTGTCGTGGGGATAGGAACCGCACTGAGGGACGCTGGGCCCAGTTCCCAGCACGTGACGCGCCCTCCAAATAAGACTGGAGCCGTAAATCCTTGGGGCCGTACAACAGGCATTGGCTCTTATCCCAGTAGAAATGCCACCCCGCCCAAAGTTTTCATAAAAAAAAAAAAAAAAGGAACCGAACTGATGCTCCTCAGAATGGATTTGCAGCCAGGGGACCATAAGGCACTCTTTGGTATTAAAAATAAACATTGGTATTAAAAATAAATAAAAAATGGTCTAACTCACCTGGTCCAAAAGATATGCATAAGACATAACTCTGTCCTGAACACGGTGACTTTCATAACCGGCGTCGATCAAAAGCGAGTTGAACCCGTCATCAGGCCTTGACCTTTCCCCTTTTAATTTCTCGGGGGGGGGGGGGGGGGGGGGGGGGGGGGGGGGATCATTATATTTCAGCATACAGAAGTGTCCGGTGAACCGTGAGCAGAGAGGGAGAAGAGGGCAACAGACCTAGGGGGCTGTGACATACTCTTCTCTCGCAGTTTCACCGACTCCACAGGAGGCTGAATCGTCCCTTAACCGGGGTACAAACAAGCCGGGGCTTCTATCGGATCTCCAGAGTCCCCTAGCCGATGATGCTATGTAAAATTATAATCCACCTTCACCTTGGCCTTGGCTGCGGTGGTTAAGCATCCACGACTGGCCGACAACTGATCCCGCACTGAGGATGTGGGGACCACTCGCCACCGCCCTCAACGGTACGTGTGACTCTATATGAAAATAAAACCAGACCATCACTCACCCACACCAGACGGAAGGCTCTACAGACTGCAGGTTCACAGCCCATCATTAGTTGGCACACTCCCATGGCAAAAAACAAAGAAAGGTATGTCGCAGATTCATCTATTATTGCTTGTGCCGTCTCCACCCATATAGAATGTACGGTCATTATAGCTGTATTTGGATCAACTTTGAGTCTAGATACCAGGTATTTGGATCAACTTTGAGTGTAGATACCAGTTATTTGGATCAACTTTGAGTCTAGATACCAGCAATAATGACTGTATGTTGTGTATTCGGGTGAAGACGGTAGTGCCTTTCTCCATGAACCTTCTTTTTTCTTTTTTTTTTCGAGATAAAAAGCGGCTCCACTACTCTCGAAATGTGCAAAATGAGAATGAATCTCCCGCTAGAACTTGGAAAGATACACCGCCAAGTTTTTTGTCGTTTGTGCATGTCGAAAGTAGTGGAGCGATGCCCTGTGGCATCCTGCACCATCAAAGGTACCCCTTATTATTAATTTATTATAACATTAAGGGCCTTGTCAACACCATGCCCCAGTCTGAAGCCATGTGAATAAATGGAAAAGGGCAGTTCATAAAAAAATAGGGTCCAACTTCTAAAGATCACTCTAATGATACTGTGTTGTGGGGGTGGGCCCCCCCGACCCTAGAATAGGGTCTGATTCATGCAGCTATAATGGTATGGCCGTGATGATACTGCGTTGTGGGGGTGGCCCCCCCCTACCCTAGAATAGGGTCTGATTCATGCAGCTACAATGGTATGGCCGTGATGATACTGCGTTGTGGGGGTGGGCCCCCCTACCCTAGAATCGGGTCAGATTCATGCAGCTACAATGGTATGGTAATAGCAGGTGTTTAATGATGGCAAGCTGTTCATCCCTTTTTGCAGCAAGTACCCGGGCTACGAAATGGCCAGCCCGGGTCACCAGGCAAGGGTCAGGGAATATCGCTGCAAAAAAGAAAAAAAAGAAAAATAAAATAAATAAATAAATAAAAGTAAATCCCGCGTTATCAGCCGGCCCACTCGGGCCACCTTCATTGCCCGGGCGGCCCGGCCGGGCCACTGCCAGGGAAGGTTCCTGTTAAGGAAAAAAAAAAAAAAAAAAAAAAAAACTCCAAAACATCCCCAAAAAAACTGTGTTGCGCAGAAAAATAAACTGAACAATTTCTGTCTCAGGGTGAAATCAGCATTCCTTTCCTAGCCAAATTAGAACTAAAATTCTTAATTTTGAAATAATAGAATATATATTTTATTATTATTATTATTTTTTGCGCCCAGCCTGGGCCTATCTGGTAGCTTTGCAATGACTTGCTGATTCTAACTGCCGAAATTGACTGCAAGGCTGTACACTAACTGGTAGGGTTAGATTCGTAATTTTGTTTGGCTGAGGGCTAACCGAGAGACCTAACTGTGAGGACATTCGTGAGGGACATATCTGCAAATTTGGGAAAATATAGCCCTAACACTAACTGAATTCCCTACCACTACCCTAACTGCGAATAGCAGGCCCGGGCTACCCCTAGGACAGACAGGCCCTAAGTGTCCTATACTGATAGACGGTCCTATAGCCTATAGCCGGGTCCGGTAGAGGCCGAGAGGCCAGAACAGCAACGGTACCGGTCGGTCAGTCAGTCCGGTCTAGGTCTAGTGTAGTCTATAGATAGGTTAGACCCATTGGTTCAAGACTTTTGGCGGTTCGTTTCTCGCGAAGCAGCGTTGGAGAAGCCAAGCAAGTTGGTGGCGGTGTCTGTCTGCAGGCGGCATCCTGAGACTTCGCCGTTGACAGCAGCCATAGCCGGCCCAGTCTGAGTCTGCCATAGCTGGGGCATCCTCAGCGCATCTACCCTTGGGGTATCTGCGTCTGGCCGGGCTACATCGAGGCTCTACACTGTGTACTCGTGGGTGGTGGCAGCCATAGCTGCCTGTTCCTTCGTCAGAGTTGTCCATTGGCATTGAAGACTTCATCGCAGGACCTGTTCTTCATCAGGGTGGTTGGCGCTGGCCTCTGGGGGCCCATTCTGATGTGGCGCTACTAACTGGGTGTAGGATAGAGAGTAAGTGGGGTCACTTTTCTTTCTTTTCCCCCCCTGACATTGGGGGTGTCCCACCCAGCCCCTGAGGAGCCTAAATCCAGGCTCTTTTACTTTTTTCAGCCTTCGGGGGGTGGGGGGGTAAAGGGGGGTATGCATTGGTTCTGAAGGGGCTAAAGGGGATTTCGAGGGAGGTGAAGTAGTCTGATTCTGTTATTTAAACTTTGTTTTCTTTTTTTTATTTTCGATTGCGATTCTACACAACATATTTTTCTCTAGAAGTTTTCCTTGCCCGTAACCCTGCCCGGGGGTCATGCGAGGCCAGGCACCCAGGGACGCATCCGGGCACCAGCTGGGTGCCCGTGCCGCCAGGGAAAAAAAAAAAAAACACCCAGGTTATTGCTTATTCTACTTGCAGCCAGAAATAATACTGATATATACCAGGCCTTGACTTTACCATACCTGCACTGTCTCCTCGTATGATAATGAGGGGTTGCCCTTGATCTTCTTCTCCAGAAAGTTGGTGGCCTCTTGCTCCTTAGCGCCAGCGCTCGTGGCCTACACAGTCAGTGGCAGCACACAACTCATTCCCCATCCAGATACACGGTGAGTGCATAAAGCAGCGAAACCGTCTAGGTATGGGAGACAAGGAGGAAGGAGGAAAAGACAGGGAGAATAAAAGGCGACAGAGCGCACCCCATGCAGAAGCGCAATAGACAGGGGGTTGCGCCAGAAGACAAAAGCCCTAGAGTTTTGCACAAGAGTTTTGCGCAAGAGTTTTGCGCAAGAGTTTTGCGCAGCATGCAGATCTCGCAAGCGTGTCACAGGCGATCCGGTAAAGGCGATCGAAGGGAAAAAAAAAAAAAAAAAAAAAAAAAAAAAAAAAAAAAAAAAAAAAAAAAAAAAAAAAAAAAAAAAGGAGTTGTCGGAAGACGCGGAGGTGCCAAGGAAGGAGGCCAGGGAGGTAAGACCCGGGGGGGAGGGGAGGGGAGCGAGGCGAGGAAGTGGAAGGCAAAGGAAAAGGAAAAGGAAAAGGGGTAGACACAGGTATGATACGATGCAAAGACCGGCAAGAAAGAGAGTTGGGGGGAGGGTGGGACTTGGAAGAGAGGGAAAGGGGAAACGCTGCGCTGCCTACTGTCTTCACCCAAATAGAACGCCCACTTTCAGTCTACATACAACAAATCCGGGTGAAGACGGTAGCACAGAATAGGAGAACACAAGAGGTTGGAAAACCGAAAGAAAAGTTGAGCAACACATTTTCGACATCCTGCGTTTTCACATTTCTGTCCTGATGATAAGAGTATTAGTTACCAGAATTTACGAATATATCCCTGAATTGAATTCGCTTTTTGCTTTCTGTCCGTGCAACGCGTTTAAAGAACCACCAAAAAAGGGTCTGAAGTGAGTTGTCCCTTCCATCAGCTGCTAAGGGCTCGCACCCAGTGTGAAGTATCGACCCAAAAAAGTTTTATATGTGGCCTTATTCACACCGGGTTCGGTTCGGCCAAAAAAGTTCATCCATTGGCATAACTCGCTCACTTCACACCGGATTTGGTTCGACCAAAAAGAGTTCATCCATTTGCATAACTCACTCTCTTTCGCTCTCTTCACACGTGGTTCAAACCGCGGGTACAGAGTTTTGAAGTTGAATAGAGCGAAGGGTCCAGATACGAACCGGTTAATCCACCAGTTATGACCTGTCCAAACCAGACCTGGTGCAAAGTTTGCACCAAGCGGTATCCAATTGCGGAGCTCGCTACCTTTTGCTCTCTTCTTTCACACTGGGTTCAAACCGCGGGCACAAAGTGTTTAGCATAAAGCAAAGGGTACAGAATCTACAGATGTGGACCTTACAGTCCTGTACTATATATATATAGACCAGTTAATATATATAGTTCAGGATTGTCAAGTTTTTCCAGACCAGGTGCAGAGTTTGCACCAAGCGGAACACACATGCACAGGTTCATGATCAAGACTCGAGAGATAGGGGGACCGGACATCTCAACCTGTTGACAAAACAGATAGCACCCTCATTCCACTGCACACAAAATTCTAAATGAATGTATGTCAGCTGAATTGTGATCCCAATACATTCACACTAACCCATCACTTTCAATGTATCGGGAGCACGAGAGATCCAGATACATTTAGAACGCTTTTTGAGTGGACCGGGGCCTATGCACACAAAATTCTAAATGAATGTATCTCGACTGCATTGTCATCCCAATACATTCACGCTAACCCATCACTTTCAATGTATCGGGAGCACAAGAGATCCAGATACATTTAGAACGCTTTTCGAGTGGACCGGGCCCTTTACCCCCCCCCCCCACTTTTCAAGGGCTTGCCTCCCCTTTTTCGCCGTCGTCGCCGTCTCTCTTTTTTCAATATTACCACCGCAGCAGAGACAGGGCCTCCCTTTTCCTCTGCACAACATTCTGAATGTATCCGGATCAAGACGTGGTCCCGATACATTCAAAATGTCGGTTCAGTCTGCAACCACTCAGTGACTCACACAGGCAGGTTCGATTTTGCAGCGCCATGTCCCCACTCACACGTAACAGAACATTGACAGTTCGAGAATTTGAGATTTTTAAATCATTTTTAAGCTTTTTTTTTGAAACGGTATTCACCAGTTCGAAGTAGCTGATGCAGCCAGGGCTCGATCCCTAGTTCCCCAACTTACCTGTGTACAAAACCTGTGTCAACTCGAAGAATTGAACCTGCGACCTGTAGAACCGCCAGTGGTAAAGTCAACTCGAAGAATTGAACCTGCGACCTGTAGAACCGCCAGTGGTAAGTAGGTCTGTCGTAGGTCTATAGGTAGCCAGGATTCGATCTGTAGACCTGTAGATTAGAAGTCTAGCTGCAGTCCTTCTAGAAGGTTGGCAAGTGGTCAAGTGGTGCAGGCAAGTGGGCAAGTGGTGTGACTAAAGCAAGCCCATGTTGGAGACGAGGACAAGTGGCAAGGGCAAATAGTAGGACCCCAGTCCAACTGCACTGCGTCGTAGGGTAGTCGCCATGCAGTCATGGGAGAGTCTAGAAAGTACCAGTCCGGTCCAGCAAGTACCACGGGGGGTGACTGTGTGCACCACGGGCCAGGGATACAGGGCAGACCAACGCAGCGCAGAAGTATAAATCAAGAGGCTGCGTCCAGCCATTCATTCATTCAGGCGGAAGCCATGCGGTAGCGCTGCCACAGCGTCTAGTGCAAGGAGGTCTGCTGGAGGCCCGAAGACGAAGGGGGCAAGAGTGAAGCACTGTAGTCTTAGCGATAGGTRGCGGCAGCCATAGCTGCCATAGTTCAGTGTAGAGAGCAGAGTGTGTGTACTGTGTGTGTGTTGCGTATGATACTGAGTGTTGCGTGTGGGACATCCAGGGTGATCCAGAGTGCGAACAGTGAGTTGTGTGGGCGCTTAGTCGCCATAGCCAGTTTAAAGAGAACTCTTACCTGGTGACGATATCTTTGAGTACTGTGAGGGCGCATGTCGCCAGTTTGCTGTTTCGCTGTTTGCATGCATGACAAGTGTGAAGAAGACGAGTTTGATTGCACTGGTATCGGAGCAGGTACCCGCTGTTCCATGCGCGCTATGTGTGCAGGGCCGATCAACCATAGCTGAAGTGCCGCCGGAGGAGGTAGTCCGCCATAGCGGACCTTGAGGTGAAGGGAGAAGCCGCGCACCTGCAACAAGAAGAGAGAGAGAGAGAGAGAGAGAGAGAGAGAGAGAGAGAGAGAGAGAGAGAGAGAGAGAGAGAGAGAGAGAGAGAGAGAG